AATATCGTGGAGATGTTGTCAGCAAGCGACAAACATGGTGCACTCAGGTGCAGTGATTTGAGTGTTTTGTGTATTTGTTGTGTTTTCAGGGCGTTGTTGTGTAACTTGGTGCGGGTGAAGCTGGGCTGCTACGAGCTGGAGGGCAAGAACTCGCTCTCTCTAGAGGACTACCTCAAAGCCTTCATGGAGACTGAAGTGAAACCTCTGTGGCCTAAAGGCTGGATGCAGGCCAGGTGAGTGTTGTTAAGTCTCTGCTGCTCAGACTGCAGCTTTCAACTCCCTCCAACATGAATATTTTTCTTGTTCTGATGTTTCAGACATGTTTCCTTCTTTCTGTTTGCAGGATGTTGTTCAAAGAGAGCATCATGGCTCATGGTCACCTGACAGGATACACGTGAGTCGGAATGATTTTTAAATCCAGCTGGTTGTTTATTTTAATCTGACTCATCTTGTTTGCCCCCCCCCTCACATATTTCACCTTTTTCTACCTGCAGAGTAAAGAAAAGAATGGTTCCTAATCCCAAGACCCCCAAGCTGAAGGTGAGTCCTGACTTCGAAGAAATCGCTTTAAAAAGTTCATTTCTCTTGTGATTTTGTGTTAATGTCAGATTTGTGGGGGTTTTTTTTTCCCAGGAGGCTGTGTGGGTTCATCGGTCCACACCTTCAGCAGGTGTCACCCCCTCCCCCGCAGCTCAGGTTGCCAAGCGACCGCCTCAGTCCCCGGCTGAGCCCATATGTCTCGACTCCCTCGACGAGGATCTGACGGCGCCCTCGCTGGACTCCATCTCTCAGGCTCTGGCCATCCTCGGAAACGCAGCCAAGGGATTGGCCCACGGGGACAGCCCCCTCCCCCGAACTACCCAAAGCTTCCCCGCCGCCCCCTCCTCCCTCCACTCCTCGCCGCTCCTCCAGCATCAGAAGAAGAACTCTGTCGGCACTCCCAGCTCCAACGCACCTCTCTACATCTCTACCTCTTCGCCCGCCCCTCAGTCCCGGCCCCCCTCCCTCACCTCCTCGCCCTCCGTCAGGGTGGACGCAATGGGGGTGGTGAAGGGCGGCGTTCAGGTGCACAGACTCTCCGTGCTGAACGCTCAGAGACCTTTAGTCGTGGCCGTGGGTAAAGGGAACATGACTGCCTCGGCGTCGCCTCCTAAGCCGCGCCCGCCCCCCACCGCGTCTCCGTTGGTGGCGCCAGGTTCAAAGATGGGGGTCTCCACGCCCCCGTCCAGCCTCCTCAAAGGCAGCAATAATAATAAAGCCATCGGTGGTGACACTCTGATCATCACGTCGCCTCAGTCCCGCCTCCACACACTCTCATCCAACACACATATCAAAACCTACCAGGCGCCCCGCCCGACCCAGAACCTGCCCCCTAAACCGTCCCACCCCGTAATCCAGCCCCAGCCTCAGTCCAACTTCATCACCCCCATGCACGCCACCCTCACTAAATCCTCCCACAGCAGCATCCCGCCGATCGTCAAACTCACCCCACGCGCCCCCAACCCCGTGGTCACCTCCATCCCCTCCTCAGGCTCCCCCTCCATCTCTCTAACCCCCGGTCTCAGGTGTCCCCCTCATGCACCAGTACTCCTCCAAGGGCCCAGCAGGGTTCCGCCCGCAGTTCTCAGGAGTAACCAAGCTCGGGCAAGGCAGCTACACCCCCCCGGGCGGCCAGAAGACCACCGCCAACAACAACAGCACCAACACCAGCCTTATAAACACCATCTCCATAAGCAAGCATTCAGGATCCAGTGCCTCCCCGACTGTGGCCTCCCCCAGCTCGGGGCAGCGACAGAGGCCCGGGGGTGGGACACCTCAGGGGGCCAAGCCGGTCGTGTCTCTCCCAAACTCATCCGTCTCTTCTCAGTTAGCACAGGTTAGTGTTTCCTGCACCGCCACACGGTGGGCTTCATTTAGTCGCACACTTTCAGGCACTTCAGTCTGACGTCGTTTTTTTTTTCTTCCCAGGTCTCCACAGCAGGTACCGGCGGCCTCCTGGGCTCGCCCTCCTCTCTTCCTCTGGGTTTCGGGATGCTGGGGGGCCTGGTCCCCGTGTCCCTGCCCTTCCAGTTCCCCTCGTTGCTAAACCTGCCGTCGCTGGCTACGGCGGGCTCCAGCACGGCAGCCAGCAGCGCTGCAGCCAATAGCAATGCATCGTTCTCTACGCTGACCCAGAGTGAGTGATGCACACGGGGCGCAAACAACAGATACCCTAACTTTAATGCACCGCACGTTCTCTTTAGATTTAAAATAGTATCACAGCTGAACTAATAGCTGGTGTGTTGCTATTAATGAATTACAAAAAACAGATTCTTTTGTGCTCCCCTGACCTCGTTCATCGTTTAAAAAAACAACCGTCCACAGCAGCTTCACAAACACACCGAAAGGTTTTCAGGTCTCATGTCATTATGGAATCTTTACCCTCTTACAGCTCACCTGCTGCTCTAATGACAGATTAAAATACGACTTATTCTTTAGGGACAGCGTGCTAATAAAACAAACCAATCAGAAGCAGAAAGAGGCAGGGCGAGCAGCTGTGTGTTTGTGTGCAGTACGAGAGCAGACGTGTTTACCTGTCTGTGTTTTAGTGCAAAGGTGTGTGTGTGTGTGTGTGTGTGTGTAAGAGCAGACGTGCACATTGCAAAAAGAGAGAGCAGAAAGTGTCTTAGTGCAGTCAGAGCAGAAATGAGGTGCATGTTTGTTTGCAATAAGCGAGCTGGTGTGTTGTTTCATACAGTAAGAGAGCAGAGGTGTGTGTGTTTTTCAACAAAATGAAGGCAGAGGTAAAGGTGTGTTTTTGTGCAATCAGAAAACAGAGGTGTAAACAATCTGATCAGAAACAAGAAAAAAAATATATAAATGAATGAATGCAGGCTAACTCTACCTGTGATGAAAAGCTTGTCGGTAATTCAGATGATGAATCAAAACACATTTTTAAAAAACGATGAATTGCTGATTGGCCCATCAGGCGGAGGTCGAGTGTGAGTGGCCCTGCCGTGTCTCGTCTCGCTGTTTCTGTATCGGGTTATTCGTCTTGTGTTGTTTGTTAGAGCACCATTTGTTTTTATCATCATGCTGTGCGTCAAATGTAAGCTTGTGATTTTTCTCCTGTTTGACATTATTCCATTTTGTTTGCTTCATTTCTCCCGATGCCAACCCCGTGTCCCTCCCCCCCTCTCTTCTGTTTGGCTCTCGTTACCTGTCCATCATCTCTATGCCACCTCGCTCCCCCCGCCCTTCTTTCCTCCCTGTGTTCTGTTGTCACCTGTCCCCTCCTCTCCCTCCTTGTTCCCCTTGTCCTGTCTCCTCAGATCTGTATAAGAGTCTCCAGTCAGGGTCTCAGGTTGCTCTGCCTCCTCACTTGCAGCTCGCTTTCTCAGGTAAAATCTGACACTCCCTCCAACTTCAACAGCCTGCTCCATCGACCCCCCCCCCCCCGCCTCCCTCTCTCGTCTGGTGTTTTCTGTCTGTGTCTGGGTTCTCTGTCTGGTCCTGTTCGTTCTCTGCTCGTGTGTTGGTGGCCGCATGCTCTCGTCTTTAGTGTCCTCTTTTTGTCTTTAAATCCTTTTTTTTTTACTACAATGTAAGAAGTGTTTTATTTGTGTTTAGATGTCACTCAAAGCCAAGGAGGAGACGCCGCCAAGAGGAAGACGCTATGATAAAAGCTGGACCTCCACGCCGCAATGACGTTTAATCGTGCGGACAAATCAGGACAGACTTTTGACTTTTAGGGCTCACCGGGCTCCGAGACAATACTCGCTCAACTTTTCATGATGACTACGGCGAAATCTAACTTTTTAAAAACAATTTGATAAATTTGCAATGACGAACACAGTTTGTCGATGTTTACAAGAACGACCTATATCACTGTGGACAGGGAGGAGGGATGAATGGGTTTTTAGGTGTGTGTGTGCGTGCGTGTGAGCACGAGGGTGAATGAGTGTGTTTGGGTTAGTGGGATCGGACGCGTGCCTTTGTGTGTCTCCCTCTCTGATGCATGGTCCGTGTGTCTATTCGGTGCTGTTTTTATCACGATGTAATTATCACCTGTATAAACTGCAAATTGAATTTGAGCTTCTTTTTTTCCCTCAATGAGAGTTATACTCTTTTCATTCTACTTGAACTCTTGGGTGATTTTGTGACTGTATAGAACTCAAAACTGCTTTTAATTAAAATCTTTTCCCTCATGAAGTTTTTTTTTTAATTCAACTTTGAAAACACTTTAAAGGGGACATAATATTAAAAATTACATTTAAAGAGACACACACCAAAACGGAGCGTTCTGAGAGAGCTGGTTTATACAGGGTCACAAACCTCCTCTGGTGCTTGATTCATGTTATATTTTGACCAAAGCTCAGCACAGATGTTTCATTTAGACCACAGGGGGACTGTTTGAGGGGGATGATATATCCTCTTTAAAGGAGCATCACATGAAAGGAAGGGGACAGAGCAGCTTTCAGTATTCAAATGGATGTTTTCCTCTTGACTCCCTAGAGGTGTGTTCACACGGGCACAACGCTCCTGAAAGCTTCCTGAAATATTCAGCAGAGCACTACATTTTCACCTGCCGGCCCCGTAGAAAAATATCCCTGTGAAGTCCCTCTTTTCTGCATCCAGGTTGTTCTTTTCCACCTTTTTATTTATACCTTCAATACGTTCAGTCACATGTAGCATTGTAAAAAAAAAACTCAAGCCATTGAAACTGTCAAAAGTTTTCAGCTGTTTTCACACATGCACCCCTGAAAAAATGTCTGTAAAACGTTCCCTGTCTGACCGGGAAAACTTAACGCTGTGATGGAGAGGTGTGAATAATCAAAATCAGGATGATTTCAGGCGCATGCTGTCCTGGAAATGTTCAGGAGTGCGTGCGTGAAAACGGCTCAGGAGAATCTCACAACACTGGAGGGACAACAGCACACGTGAAAGGGCAGTGTAGATTTAATTCAAACCTTTCGTCTGGCTCATTAAATCAAATCATTATCTGAAAGAACACCGACCTAATCCCAGACATGACAAATTAGAAAATATGCAACAATAATGAAAATGTGAAAACACCGTTTGACACCAGATCAAATGACCAGCAACACAAAACAATACAAAAAAAAACAAGGAAAAACTGAGAGTTGATCGAAGCAGTTTGTCGACGTGAAGGTGGACTGGCAGTGTGAGAAGGATCCGGATCGCGGCCAGCTCTCCCGGAGCGTCTCCCAGAACGGTATCCTCCTCAGACACTTTTGTCGCTTCCCCCGTTTTGGAAAACCTTACTTGACCAGCGGCCGGGTTTTATCGTCGTCACCACACTGATGAGCTTTGTACTTTTTCACCTCAGCCATGTACTTTGACCAAGCATCGCTCTTGCCTGGAACCGCCTGCAGGAGAGAAAATCACAAAGAGAAACACGTTTAGTCCGACTGACTAAACACGACACGTAGCCAGATGTGCAACACCACAATGTCTTCACCTTCTCTTTTACCCTACACCTACATGATGTGTGCATAACAAACCCCTATTTCTACATTATCATACAAATGTCACATCAGCCGAGCTCAAGGTTTTAGTAAAATATAATAATGTAATCGACACCACACTTACTTCTGAGTCATTTTTCAGCTTCTTCTCAACCATGCCGGTCTTTAGGAACACACCGCCTCTGCGCTTCCCCACCTGGGTTAGGGGATAGAAGACTGAAACCATTATAGGAGCCCTTCAGATGGACTGCCAATGAAGGAGACTACACCAGAGCAGAAGGTCTACATTTAGTCTCTGACCACAGCACCAGAGAAACCATCATCAGTGAGGAGCATCCCTAGTCTAGACTGCTCTACAAATATTAAATACTGCAAAAAAATAACATGTTCATAATGCAATATTTACACAAGTACAGTGTAATAAGTTAAGTGACAGATAGAGGAGGGCTGCTGGTATCTATCTCATCTTACAACTGCTAAACCCCTTACAAAGCTCGCCACGGGAGGGGGCTTCTTTTCCACTGGTGTCTGTCCCTGCTCGGTGGCACTCGCTCCTCCACATGTCTCTTTTTTCCTCTGCTCCTCCTCCATCTTCTTCTTGAACATCTCCATGAAGCTGCCGTCGTTGGCGAACGCGTTTCCCCCGGGGAGCAGCGCCGGGGCCGGGCTGCGGGAGGAGGGAGCCGGGCTGCGGGAGGAGGGGGCCGGGCTGCGGGAGGGGGACGCCGGGCTGCGGGAGGAGGGGGCCGGGCTGCGGGAGGGGGACGCCGGGCTGCGGGAGGAGGGGGCCGGGCTGCGGGAGGGGGACGCCGGGCTGCCGCAGCTGGAGTCACCGCTGCTGCCTCCTCCTCCTCCTCGGCTACTTTCAGCTTCACTGTGTGAATGTGCCCGCTTTGAATCCATGTTTCCTGGATGTAATGTTCACAAAACAAAGCCCAGGACTCACAGTTTGTCCCTTCACTCACTGTATTAAACAGACAGGACCAAGTGTATCTCTAAAGCACTCAGTTCCCGCTCAGGAAAAACACTATCTTGAAGAAAATAGTGTCTTTAAATGAGTCAACAAGTCTCGTCTTTGAGACAAAAACAAAAGCAGCCGCTGGTCAGGCAGCTAACGCGGCTAATGCTAACGGCTAACTCAGACTAATAAGGCTGAAACCGACGAAAGAAACTCAACGTAGAACTCAAATTTCAGTCTGAGACGAATAAAAAACGAATAACGCAAAGAACTCGATCGAAAAATCCGACTTAGTGAAGCGTAGAGCCGAGGGTCTGTGTGTTTTTACCGACGCTTCACGCTAACTTCAGCCTCTCTCCGCCATGTTTTAGTTTCCCTCCTCTGTCTGATGACGTCACCAGTGTTGCCAGATCTCGCGAGAGAAACAAGCAACCAGCTCTATGGAAACAAGCGACCTGGCTCCTCAGAAATTAAATGAAGCCCAACAGGTGACCTAACCTACCACATAGTGTAAAAGAGAGGCCACTGTATATATATACTGTATATATATATATATACAGTATATATATATATATATACAGTATATATATATATATATACTGTATATATATATATATATATATTTTGTCTGATTTTGATTTGAAAACAGTGAAATCGATGTCCGTAGGCCTCATGGATTTTGTTGAAGTTTTTTAGTGCCAGCATCATCAGCATGCTGTGTTAAGGTCAGATCTCTTTCTCCCACTGTTTATTATAGATTTTTCCATATATTTCCCTTATTCCCGGGCATTGTGGCTCTGTCAGATGTAGTTGTGTGTGTGTGTGTGTGTGTGTGTGTGTGTGTGTGTGTGTGTGTGTGTGTGTGTGTGTGTGTGTGTGTGTGTGTGTGTGTGTGTGTGTGTCACGGGGTTGTGGACCGATCCTGGAAAAAGACAAACTATCGCGATCGTTTTTCGCTTTATTGTGGAGAGTTGGGAGAGAATCAGTAGAGGTTCATACAGGGAGCAAAACAAGCCCAAACAAACAACTGCACTTCAGAAAACAAGCCCAAACAAACAACTGCACTTTAGAAAACAAGCCCAAACAAACAACTGCACTTTAGAAAACAAGCCCAAACAAACAACTGCACTTTAGAAAACAAGCCCAAACAAACAACTGCACTTTAGAAAACAATCCCAAACAAACAACTGCACTTCAGAAAACAATCCCAAACAAACAAACAACTGCACTTCAGAAAACAAGCCCAAACAAACAAACAACTGCACTTCAGAAAACAATCCCAAACAAACAACTGCACTTTAGAAAACAAGCCCAAACAAACAACTACACTTTAGAAAACAAGCCCAAACAAACAACTGCACTTTAGAAAACAAGCCCAAACAAACAACTACACTTTAGAAAACAATCCCAAACAAACAAACAACTACACTTTAGAAAACAATCCCAAACAAACAAACAACTGCACTTTAGAAAACAAGCCCAAACAACTACACTTTAGAAAACAATCCCAAACAAACAAACAACTACACTTTAGAAAACAATCCCAAACAAACAACTGCACTTTAGAAAACAATCCCAAACAAACAACTGCACTTTAGAAAACAATCCCAAACAAACAACTACACTTTAGAAAACAATCCAAAACAAACAACTGCACTTCAGAAAACAAGCCCAAACAAACAACTACACTTTACAAAACAAGCCCAAAAACCCGCAACCCGCGACTGACGATATTTGCAAGCGACTTACGGAAAAACAAGCCCAAAGTCGCTTATAACAAACAGACCTGGCAACACTAGACGTCACGCCCCGGATGTAACGCCCTCTGCTGGAAAGAGCGCGAAACTGACTGAAAGTAAAAGACGATGATTTTGTAAGAAAACTGCATTAAATGTGCAGCTCGTTTTGATATTTTAGTGACAAAAACATAAATCTTTTAGACTATACTAAGTATTCTTGGGATTATGTTTAATTTTGTCTATTTATGTTTTATATTTACTTTTTATTTTTATTAATATTATAGTTTTTATTTTATTTTTTATTAATATTATAGTTTTTATTTTATTTTGATCCTTTAAGCACTTGTTTCTATTTCTTTTCCTGCTCTTACCTTCTTATTGCTGTTCTCTTTTGATTTACTTTTAGCTCTTTTCTTACATCTTTTTAAATCTTTGGTTCCTCTTGGTCTCAGCTCGTGTTGTTGGGTTCTTGTGATGGTTCTTGTGATGGTTCTTGTGATGCCTGGGTTCTTATGATGGTTCTTGTGTTGCCTGGGTTCTTATGATGGTTCTTGTGTTTCCTGGGTTCTTATGATGGTTCTTGTGATTCCTGGGTTCTTATTATGGTTCTTGTGTTGCCTGGGTTCTTATTATGGTTCTTGTGATGGTTCTTGTGTTTCCTGGGTTCTTATGATGGTTCTTGTGATGGTTCTTGTGTTTCCTGGGTTCTTATGATGGTTCTTGTCATGGTTCTTGTGTTCCTGGTTTTGTGATGGTTCTTGTGATGGTTCTTGTGATGCCTGGGTTCTTGTGATGGTTCTTGTGATGGTTCTTGTGATGGTTCTTGTGTTTCCTGGGTTCTTATGATGGTTCTTGTGATGGTTCTTGTGTTTCCTGGGTTCTTATGATGGTTCTTGTCATGGTTCTTGTGTTTCCTGGGTTCTTGTGATGGTTCTTGTGATGGTTCTTGTGTTTCCTGGGTTCTTGTGATGGTTCTTGTGATGGTTCTTGTGATGGTTCTTGTGTTTCCTGGGTTCTTGTGATGGTTCTTGTGATGGTTCTTGTGATGGTTCTTGTGATGGTTGGGTTCTATATGTCTGTTGGGTATCGTGCACTTTGGGTTCTTTTCTGTTGAATTGTATTTAATTATTTTTAGTATTTAGTATTTGTTTGTTCTTGTTGTTGTTTATGTTCTTCTGTGTTTGGTTTAGTTTGTTTTTGTTTTTGTCAAAGCACTTTGTAAACCTGTGTTTTTAAAAAGGTGCTGTATGAATAAAGTTATTATTATTAATTTTCTTATAATTAATTTGAAGCTAATGATTAATGATAGTCAGCCCTAAATCTGACATTAATTTTTTTTTTTTGCATTTAAGTTTCTCAGACTAAACATCTGAGACACTAACTTACAAAACAGTTTTGAATTCTCTCTCAACTGAAGCCCGAGTCCCACCCCGGAACATGTATATAAACTTCAGCTGCTTTTCTCAAAGCGCTTTTACACATTCACACACTGATGTCAGAGGTTTCTGTGTACCAGTGACCATCTTACACATTCATACACCACAGACGAAGCAGCAGGAGCAACTTGGGGTTAATTGTCTTGCCCAAGGACACATGAGACATGTTGCTGCAGGAGCTGGGGATTGAACACCTGATCTTCCAGTTGAGAGACGACCGACTCTACCAACCGAGCCACAGCCGCCACATGTGATCCCACTGACCCACAGACGACTGGGAGGTTTAATGACTCGAGGTGAAACCAGGACACCAACTCTCCTGTGAGTCACCGTTGATCCACAGAGGATTACATTTCCAGCAGTTATTTTCAGAGGAGGAGAGGTGAATCGTCTTCAAGACGTCCAGCTGCCTTTGGAATCGAGCATCAGTTTACCTCGACCTGGATGACTGAGAACCGACACAGACATCTTGCAGTGAAAGCAGCTCTCTGTTTCTCTCACCACACATTATTATTTCTTCGGTGAGTAACTGTTGGCTCGGTAGATTTTGTTGTGCCGTTTTTCTCGAGTCAGAGGACATGCTTGTCGAGAGTGATAGAAAAAACAATACTTTCACCGTTTTCACACAACTGCTCAGGCGATGTGAGAAGCCTGACTCATCAGCTTGGCCTTTAAAAAGTTTGTTCACAAGACGGATCGAGATGATCAAACTCAGGTCAGTATTCACTCTAAATATTTTCTGGCTGTGTTTAAATAAAAGCATGAATCATTACGGACTGTTATAGGAAAAGTTTTTACTCAAAAATAAAACTCCACACCAACATGATTTATCTTAAGATCCTATTTATTTGTAGTGCAAAAGTGGAACAGACAGGACTACAAATGTTTGACTTGCCTCTGATTCCCTGTGTGACGAATGCTACGCTATCATCTACAAACCCCATCGTATATGATACAAACACAAAGTACTACTTCACCCTTTTCAAACCATGCAATGTGCAGAACAGAAAAGTGACAACACCATAAATTACAAACTCCAAAACAATGAACACAAGTAGAAAAATGTCCGCACACCACATCAGGACTCAGGTGTGAGTAGAAAACAGCACAGACACTCACAGGGACGGAGTACAAGTCACCAAACAGCAGCTCTGACACGGGGGACTAAAGAGGTCCACCTCTGGTGGAAGGGAGAAAGTGATTCGCTTTCAGTCGAGCTAGATGTGGCGTTCATGTGTGCGCCGTCTAACATGTTCACCCGCCTCCATATTCCAGTCAAAAAAAAACATGATTCCAGTTTTTCTTCCAGATCAGTCAAATGAAAATTAGAAGGTAGCAGCGGTAAAACAGCCGTTAGCTGATTCATGACTGTTTAGTGTTTTTATCAGTTCCAGTCTTTAAGATAAACTCAGACGCCTTAATTTCCCTGTAAACGCTCTGTTTAACGAGTATATAAAGTGGTGAGTGCGATTAGGTCTGACCCACAAACAAAACCCTGTTTCAATCTTTGGGACTCGAGGAAAAAGTCTGGAAAGTATAATCACATTTTAAATCAGGAAATCAGAGAAAAATCTAAATTAACTAAAGCCAAATTAAAATGTAGGAGTCTTGAAGTTGAGTGTTTTTGTGTCAGAGGAGACGAGGCGGTCTCATCCAAAGAGGAGGGAGATCTTATTTGAGGTGTGGATTAACCGACCCTCTAGGAAAGTGCTTTTAGTGTATCTAGTGAAGCTTTCCATTATTATTTAGATTAGAGATCTTAGTGAAAATCCATTAACACCCTGTCATGGTCGCTGTACCTTTACGACGTCAAACCCACCTCAAACAAAAAAAAAAGAAAACAGTGAAGAAGTTCTAAACAAACAAAGAAAAACCAAAGAGACGCACTAAAGGTTGACAGAGACGGTCTTGACCTCAGTCCTCCGCAGCTTTTTAAGCCCTTCTAGAAATTTACCCGAAAAACTCCTCTGACAAATCTACTTCACATTTCATCTCAAGAGCTAAACATAAAAGATAAAAAAAATAAGTTTTAAAACAGACTTTAAAGAAACAGGAGAGAGTCACCGAAAGTCACCTTAAAAGGTGAGTCAGCGTCTTTTCAGGCCCCTCGCTCTCCTCCATCACATTCAGTTTCTTTTTAAGAGTCCAATAAAAAGTCAAACGCAGCCAGCAGTTTCTCTCGCCCTCTGGGAAACACTGCTGTCATACCGTGGAGAGCCAGCAGGGGGCAGTAGCAGCATGAGGGTTACTCTCTTAAGGTGCAGAGATCCAGTGGAGGTATGAAGGCAAGAAGGTGCGGGGGAGTTCAGCCGTTAGCTCCCCTCGTCGTGTTTGAAGCTCTGTGTGATCGTTTTTTCTTTTTTTTATCTGGGCTGCTGTCGTACGAGGCCTCGTCTGGCGTTGGTCGACTGTCTCTGCTGGGCGAGGAATGACATGGCCTGGTTAGACGGTCCCTGGCGCTCGCCGGATACCTTCTGATGCAACGCCATCCCCTGAGACGGAGAGAAGAGAAGTGAGGAGAAGTGACAGAGTCAGAACTTCAGAATGAAATAAAAACTCTTGTTGGCCTCAAAACTCTTTTCATCATGTTTTTTAATCCTCAAAGCAAAGTTATCAGACGTTATCAGGCCACACAAAGTGATTCTATAAACTCTAACAAAGAGTTTCTGGTGTTGAGAAACACGCCTTTTGAGTGTGAAACTAAGACTCTCTGGATTATTATTATTTCTTTCATGTTTTCCATCAGTCATACAAATTATTATCAACCAAAATAATACCATAACATTTAAATTAGTTACACTTTTCAAGAATGAAATCAGGATCACATGAGATATTTACCTTTATATCCCGGGATACAACAGAGAAAACACATAAAATAAAACAAAATATATATATATATATATATATACACATACACACACACATACATATATAGAATTAAATAAATATAGAAACATGTACATTAATGTCCCATTCATTCATGTCACACAAATCTCGTCCCTCGCATCCCACCCTCCCTGGATTATTGTCCCGAACGCTGACTCATATTTTCTTTTAGATTTCAAGAGGTTGCTTCTGAAAAAGGTTCAGGACTTAAGTTTGTACTATCAGAGACAAAAAGGTGGAAGGAAAAAAGAGGGACAAGAAAGTAAATAAATACAATCAGCTGTAGAAGCTTCAGTGTCTCTCCTCCTCCTCATCTGTCCTAAAGATATCTTTTTTTGTAATGTCCATGTTTTGATGTTTTTATACTCTCACTCACCATGTTGTACCAGGCACTGATGATGAGTTTCTCCTCCTGGTCGTGTCTGACTCGGCTCTTCTCGAAGTCATGCTGCACAAAAAAAAACAAAAAACAACCATAAATACACTCCCTCTTCCTCCTGTACTGCCAGCCTGGTGGTTCAGACCGAGGCCGCTGTGCTAAAGATCTGACCCGTCTCCGATGTGGATCTACCTCTCTGGTCTGAGTGCAGTGTGAACGCAGACGTGACTTCTGATTGGAATATGTTGCCTTTAAATCTCAGTTCCTCGTCATCGTTCCACTTATTTAAACATGTTTTGTTTTCTCATCTTCAAACTTATTGTGTTTGTTTTCAGTAACGTCAACACTGTTTATTTATTTCTCTCTATGTATAGACTGAATCTCTCCTCTAAAGTGTCTAGAGTTGTAGCTTATTGTTGTATTTGTTCTCTGTGTTGTCCCTTGTTTTGTTTTGTTTTCTGCTGTATGTATTACTTTGTAATTATATGTTTGGAACTCCCTTGAAAACGAGGCGATACACCTCAAGGGGCTTATCCTAATATAATACATTTCTCATGTGTCCTTCTGTTTTCAAACATTTCTCACCTCCAGATGTTGGATTTTTCTCTCCTTCTCCGACAGCTGGTTTTCAGAGCCTGGACGTCAGGAGACGGCGTCACCCGGCGCCTGCTTAGGATCCAGGGTTTTGATCACCTGCACGTACAAGATTAAGTGTTCTAAAACATCATTCAAATTTGAAATCAGGGTTGTTCTGATGCAGCACCGCTTTCACTATCTGCCTCCACTGAAGCCTAAATGCATTATGGGTAATTATGCCGTTCTACAACAGCTATAAAAACATTTGCTTGAGTTTCTGTTTTAAAGAGTGAAAAAACAGCCATCTCATTTTCCTCTCAGAGCCACATGCTGCACAGACAGCACGGTCTGTTTCATCGGACTGACCGTTCTCGCCTTCTCCACGTAGCGTTTGTATCGCTCCTCCATCTGCTTCATGTCCTCGTCCTTCTTGCGCAGGTCTCCTGGAGTTCGTCTAT